AAAAAAAAAAAAAAAAAAAAAAAAAAATAAATAAATAAATAAAATTAAAAAAAAATAAAAAGAGGAGGGAGGCTAAAACAAGTAGAGGGGCAACAATGATAATTTATTATAAATTAATACAAAATATTTATGTAAATGTGGTTGACTTTGGAGTACAAAGAATTGTAAATATGTATGATATGACAATGTTGATCAGGTGTAGTGGCTCATGCCTATAAACCTTTGGGAGGCCAAGATGGGAGGATTACTTGAGCCCAGGAGTTCAAGACCAGTCTGGACAACATAGTGAGATTTTATCTCTACAGGAAAAAAAAAAATAGCCATGCGTGGTGGCGGTGCACCTGATGTCCCAGCTACTTGGAAAGTTGAGGTAGAAGGATCACCTGAACCCAGGAGGTTGAGGCTGCAGTGAACCATGACTGTTGACTGTACCACTATATTCCAGCCTGGGTGAGAAAGTGAGACCACAATACAAAAAAAAAGAAAAGAAAAGAAAAGAAAAGAAAATGTCTCTTAAAAATAAAACAAGGCTGGGCTTGGTGGCTTGGCCTGTAATCTCAGCACTTTTAGGGAGGCTGAGGTGAGTGGATTGCCTGAACCCTTGGGTTAGAGACTAGCCTAGGCAACTTGGTGAGACCTCATCTCTACATTAAAGAAAAAAAGAAAAGAAAAGAAAAATTAGCCAGTTGTGGTAGCGCAAGCCTGTAGTTCCAGCTAGTTGTAAGGCTGAGGCGGAAGGATCACCTGAACCCAGCAGGTCAACACTGGGGTGGCCATGAGCGTGTCAATGCACTCCAGCCTGGGTGATGGAGTGAGACTTCAACTCAAAAAAATAAAAATAAATAAAATGAATGGGCTGGGCATGGTGGCTCAAGCCTATATAATCCCAGCACTTTGGGAGGCTGAGGTGAGCGAATTGCCTGAGCCCATGGGTTTGAGAACAGCCTGGGCAACTTGGCGAGACCTCATCTCTACAATTAATCAAAAAATTAGCCGGGCATGGTAGCATGCGTCTGTAGTTCTGGCTACTTGGAAGACTGAGGCAGAAGTATCACCTGAGCCCAGCAGGTTGACACTGGGGTGGCCGTGATTGTGCCACTGCACTTCAGCCTGGGCGATGGAGTGAGACTCAACTAAAACAAATAAACAAACAAACAGACAAATAAATAAAATAAAATGAATGCCTCTGAGACCAAAAAGAATTGATAGATGAAAAATGCTTTGGAAATGGAGATGTATTAAGCACAAATAACCAGATATGGAAAACCTGAACTTGAAAACCTTTAAGTTATGGGAGCATTTGCACATTAAAATACAGGTCTTCAATACATAAAAAGAAGCCCCAAACCTAAGGGTTTCTTTTCAGATTATAGAAGGGAGGCAGAAGAGCGAGTAGCTAAAGTAAAGTTTTATATCTTCACTCTGCCACGTTCTAGCCGTGTGACCTTACCGCTCTGAGCCTCAGTTTCCTCTATGAAAGTGGCGATATCATATACACGCCTCGGGGTGACTGTGAGGATTAATTAACACAAGGCATGGGCAGTTCTTGGCACCCAGCCTAGCACATTATAAACACTCCATAAATTCTGGCTGTGATTGTAAACGACTTGACAGAAAAGTCAGAGAGTAGAGAAACTTAAAGCATCTCTATAATTACACGAATTGTGAGAAAACAAGTTAAAATTGTGCTTGGTTTTCTTCTAAATTGGATTTTGTAAGCTAAACATGATTCTCTGTATCTGAGAGTAGTTGCTAGGAGAAACTGGCAAAAAGGCAGTGAAGTGGTGAACTCAGCCATTGTTCCTAAAATAAGTATGAAACGAGACAGGAGGCTTTGAAACGATTTCTTTCCAGAGGGAAAAACAACTTCCCCAATGAGAAGGGAGGCTAGGAAGCTGACAGCGTGGTGGGTGGGAGACAGGTCTAGATGCAAGGGACATGGAAATCAAGGTCCTGCAAAAAGCTGGTGTGGGCTCATGGGGACCTCCTGACTGTAAAACGATGCATAGCCAGGAATTACCCACGATGACTTATGGAGCTATATATTTATGTATCTTCATGAGGGGACTTGAGGCTGAATGTTTGAGGAGAAGGCAGAAGAACCTATGGACATATATCCATTTTACCTGAGGAAAGGTCTATGGTTGGAGAAGACAGTTGACACAGTGGTCAGGTGCACAGGTGGTTTTGTTCCCAGAGTTGAATTAGAAGGTTCTGGCTTTGTTGTTGTTAGCTGTGTGAATCAAACATGCTTGTCTCCCTAAGACTCTGTTTCCTCATCTGTAAGATGAGACAAGCACTTAAGACAGTTACCCAGGCTGTCACTCAGGTTGGAGTGTAGTGGAATGATCATGGTTCACCACAGCCTCCACTTCCTGGCCTCAGGTGATCCTTCTGCCTCAGCCTCCTGAGTCGCTGGGAATACAGGCCTGTGTCGCCAAGCCTGGCTAATTTTTAAAATGTTTTGTAGAAACAAGGTCTCTCTAAGTTGCCCAGGCTGGTCTTGAACTCCTGGGCTCAAGTCATCCTCTCATTTTAACCTCTCAAAGCACTGGGATTTATAGGTGTGAGCCACCACGCCCGGCCCGATTCTTTCTCATTGAAGAACAGACAATGCGATCTAACAAGAAGGCTGGCCAAATGGCCCCTTCCAGTCTTTCTAGAACAGAGGGAGGAATAAAAAGCAAAGAGAAGATTCTAAACACATTGTACCTTAAAGCAAAACCCTATGTGGTGCACCCATTCCAAAGCACACAACATGAGGCTGAAATGAGACAGTTTGTGAAGTGCTTAGTATCCTAAGAACCCTGGCATGGCAGGTGCTAGTTAGTACTGACATCACTGTGCACAGAAGTGGAAGAGTTTAGTGTCTCAATCAGGTATTTGTGAGATGTTTTTATGCATCTCACCTGTAAAAACGTGACCGTATTTAATTCATTTCTAGCTGTATGTATTATATTTAGTTTTGGAGACTATAGATGCATTTTCATAACATAAATGCATACATTTTTTAAGTGAAGAATTTGTAGCTAATATCATTCTTGCCTGGCTTGAGGTGGATGACCTGAAACTCTGCCCCAGGGCATGCATCTGGCTGAGTTAGTTACTTGGAAAGTAAGATGAAAATTTTTAAAACTTCTGACCTAGGTCAATAGATTTGTGACTAAATCAATGAGGAATCAGGTTCAAGTTACAGAGATGTGATCTCTAAGCCTCCTCTTGCATGAAGTAATTCCAACCTCTTGTGTCCATTTCAGTAGCTGCTTTGCTCACATCGTGGGATGGGGGAGGGGCAAAGATTTGGCATCGGGCAGAGACTTTCTCAGTCTTTTCCCTGGCACAGTGACTCTTCATGTTCAGCTCTCAAGAATGAAGAAAAGTCCATGAAAACAGCTCCAGTTCTGAGCAAGTTACTATTATCTGCCAAGCAACCACGTAGATTCCCCACTGGTTACTTTTTGGTGTATGTTATTCTTTCAGATGCTGTTTATGACACAATCCAGCCTCTCTAAGTGGCTATTAATTGTGTAGTGAGAAATATCGGACAAATATAACCCTGCCAGATGCTAACCTAAGTCTCTCTCAATAAAAATTACAAAATGCCTGTTATGGGGTCATTTAAATGAGTTACATTGATAATAAGCAGACAGATTTACAAAGATACATCAAATGGCTCCTTTTATTTATACTAAATAAGGCAAGTAGATGTTCTAGAGGTTGTTAAATCAAATAAGTGCTTCAGTTGTTTAATTTCACTCAATTTCTTTCCTTCCTTCCCTCTCCCTCCCTCCTTCTCTTTCTTTTTCTCTCTTTCAAGTTGGAATCTCATTCTGACACCCAGGCTGGAGTGCAGTGGAACCATCACCGCTCACCTCAGCCTCCACTTCCTAGGCTCAGGTGACCTGCCTCAGTCTCCCAAGTAGCTAAGAATACAGGCCTGAGCGACCATGCTCGGCTAATCTTTTTTTTTATTTGTTGTAGAGACAAGGTCTTGCTGTTACCCAGGCTGGTCTTGAACTCCTGGGCTTAAGCAATCCTCCCACCTTGGCCTCCCAATGTGCTGGGATTACATGTGTGAGCCACCACATCTGGCCCAAGTTTCTTCCTTAATGAAGAACAGACAATGTGGTCTGACGAGAAGGCTAGCCAAATGGCCCCTTCCAGTCCATCTAGACCAGAGGGGGGAATAAAAAGCAAAGAAGACGATGCTAAGCACATTGTATCTTAAAGCAAAAACCCTATGTGGTGCACCCATTCCAAAGTACACAACAAACTCTTTTCTCAGCACACATTTAAAACTAAATTAAAATCTGACTGTACCGCTTTTGCAAGTTTCACACCATGCTCATAAGTGAGAGGTTTCTCTTTCATATACAGCAAACGGGCCAGGGTTTTGGGGTCATCACGGAGATCAATCTGGCAAAAAACACACACATGATAAACTTATTTACTTTCTCAGGCCTTGCCAGATATTTGACACTGTGACATAACAGTTTTTCCCCCTTAACATCTTTGAAGTTGTTGAGTTTTCTTTAAGGAAGCACATACACATGCCCATGTTGTGTCTAAAAAAGCAAAGTGATGTCTTTGTAAATGTATACAACAGGCTTTCCTTATATTTTCCCTTTCAAAGCAGTAACTCTGGGAGCTGAAGACTTATTCTGATGACTTTGTTGCTCAAATGTGTTTGACATTTTCTATTTACTTCTCGATTCCACTTCCAGGGCATATAAAATAACCAACCAGTCTTATCACCTTACAGTGATCCTTTATTTGATTCCAAATTATATTACTCATTATTTAATAGTTTATTTCCTGGTTCTGAATGCATCCTTTGTATTTGTTCATTTTTAGCTTTTCCAAATAAAACGTTCACCCTCAAAGGGATGAAAAATTTGCTACCTATTGAGGATATTCTAATAAATGGGTGACAAATTCTGAAAGGCAAATTTCTAAGATAAATTTTCAAGGGTTTGTTCAAGGAAATAAGCATTCGTCTTTTCAAAGGTAGAAATACTTTGAAGATAGCAAAAATATTTGGATTAGGTTTGATAATTTAATTAAATATTTTGGTTGCCTTAAAATCTCATCGTGTACTCTCAACCCATGTATACGTGAATGGGTGTGAATGTGGCATACAAGGTCTTGTGTCTTCAAGAAAGATCAATATGTTCATAGTGTAGGATCCATTTATAAGCACATTGTTCAGCTCAGCCAATCTGTGTGTGTATGTGTGTGTGTGTGTGTGTGTGTGTGTGTGTGTGTGTGTATGTGTGTGTGTGTGTGTGTGTGTGTTTGCCTTCATTGTTCAATTTAGTGCACATCTGTTATAAAATCAGCTCAAATTACTACAAGGTGATCGACTGTCCTATGTTTTGGCAGAAGGGTTTCAATCTTCATCGATCTATATGGGCAAATATTATCATCTTTAAAGCAAAGACTTCATCTAAACATTCCTGTCTTTCAGAGCAGAAGCATTAACTGTACTCTGATTTATGAATATGTGAGTTCTTCTACTTTGTTTCTATTTAAGTAACTACATATACTGTGTACGTGTCCTTATCTTCTTTAGGACATATTTTTCTTTCCTTTATGTTTTCAAAAACTTTTCTTTGCTAAACAAAGCATAAGTGAAAAATATATTTAAAACTGTAGAAGGTAGGAACAATCTTTGTACAATTGGCTTACTGTTAGAAATTCAAACTATGGAATTTTATTTCAAAACCCTGAAAGGCTTTTACATTCACAGGTTTATTTATCTGGTATATCTGCTTTAGCTTCTTTTCTAAGACCTGGAACACCAAGTTCTCTGTTTACAGGGAACAGAGAACAGCAAATCTTCGTCTTCTTTCTCCAGAATGTCATTAAGGAGTTCCTGTCAAAATATGCCCATTCTGATTGCTGGGCTTGTTTTGACACTCACACTTATTTTGTGATTTTAAAACAAGTGAGGCTCCAGCTCAAAAAACCAAACCAAACCAAACCAAACCAAACCAAACCAAACCAAACCAAAACAAACCAAAACAAAACTGTGACTTTCAGATATTAAAAAATACTTCATCGTCTGTGCAGTTGACACCCTCACCTCATGACTCTGATCAAGACTGGAGAAGGGTGTCTATTTTAAAAATTACTTTGTCATTAAAAGAAAAAAGCAGGGAGATTGATTTTTAGAGGCTATATCGAAACCTGCTTCATATTAAGTAGCTCTATTATCTTTTCAACTATGGGCTAAATAACCAACACACCCAAGGAATTTCTGTCCATAGGTCTCATACCTCTGAGACCCGTTCAAAGTGTTTGGTAGAACAGCATGCTTGTGAAGTTCCTAGAAGGCCTCTCCTTTATGGCCTCCCCGACCCCACCGTCACCCGCATTTTAACCTGGGTCCCTATGAGGACATAAGGCACATGAGGCATGCAGTCCTTCAGCTCGGGGACCCACTCCTCCTGGACATTGTGGTAAGACGCAGGGTTGACCACAGAGAAGCAGATCAAAAACACGTCCGTGTTGGGGTAGGAGAGCGGCCTCAGCTGGTTGTAGTCCTCCTGCGGGAAGAGCAGACAAGGCACAAGAGTTGGAACAGCCTGGGAAGAGTGGGTCCCGGGTGATTCCCCGGTCGGGTTGCAGGTAAGCATAACACCACAGCACCCTGGAAACAGGTGGGGCTCTCTCTGCTAGAAATAAAGGAGCCCCCCATCAGGAAAACACCTTTCTGTTGTGTATAGAGATGATATATGGCTTCCTCTTAAGATGCACTTAAAATTTTTTTCCCTTTTCGTTTTTATTTTGAAATTGTGGGGTACAATTCAGGATTAGGTATAGAAATGTTCATTGTGCAGGTACCCTTATTGATGGGTGTGCCCCCCTTTCCCCAGGTGGATATCACCTACTGTCAATCCCAGCTACCTGCCCCCCACCCTCCTCCCCGCAGTTTCCGACTACTTTCAATCCCTTTCCTACAGTAATGTGGTAGTTGTTCAAGGTCCACTTATGAGTGAGAACATGTAATACTCAGCTCTTTGTTTCTGTGAGAGATCACTCAGTATTATAAGCTCTAATCCCATCCATGTTGCTGCGAAGTTCATGATTTTGTTCTTCTTCATGGCTGTGTAATATTTCATTGGATGTATGTACCACATATTTTTTGTCCAGTTCTCTTTTGATGGGCAGCACAGTTGGCTCCATGCTCTGGCTATTGTGAACAATGCTGCACACTTAAATATTTTTTAACAGCTATATTGAGATACACCATACCCTAAAGTTCACCCATTTATTTTCTTAGTGTATATATTTAAGGTGTACATGATATTTTGACAACATATTTATCTTCTCACTCAGTTAATTTTTAAAAACTTTTTTTGAGTTGGGGGGGTCTCATTCTGTTGCCTAGGCTGGAGTGCAGCAGCACGATCACCACTCACCATAACCTTGACTTCCTGGGCAAATCCTTCTACCTCAGCCTCCTGAGTAACTGGGACTGCAGGCATGCCCCACCATACCTGGTTAATTTTTTCGTAAAGACAAAGTCTTGCTATGGTGCCCAGACTGGTCTTCAATTCCTGGGCTCAAGCGATTCTCCTGTCTCAGCCTTCCAAAGCGCTGAGATGACAGGCGTGAGCCACTATGCCTGACCTACTTTTTATTGTATTAAATAGTGATGGATTCTTACTATGTTGCCCACGCTGGTCTCAAATTCCTGCCTTCAAGGGATTCTACTGCCTGGCTCCTCCAAAATGCTGGAATTGTAGGCATTGGCCACTGCACCTGGCCATAGTTACTTTTAGCAATTTTTTTAATGGTGAGAACACCAGAAATGTCCTCTCTTGGCACATTCCCAGTACACAATGCGGTCTCATGAACTTGAGTCATCATGCTGTGCATTAGGTCTCTGGATTTGCTCACCCTCTACAACTACAACTTTGTATCCTTGACCAACATTTTCTCATTTACTGCCCCTCCCCGCCCTGGTAACACCGGTTTTACTCTCTGTTTCTATTCAAAAGTTCACCCATTCAAAGTGTATAATTCACTAAAGATTACTGCAATGTTCTTGTCCTACTGGAATTGTGTTGTATTGAATATCCTATATTTAAGTTAGCAGGACATTGGCCAAGGCACAGGAATCCTCTCCTGAGACTATTAAAAAAAACTGTATCCCAATTTATCTTAGAATAAGCTGACTAAAATATAAAACAAAGGGTTGTTGCCAAACCTGACACACAATATTTGAATAAATATGTTGGGTGAAGGTTTGGAGCTAAGAATTTGGGATTTGCTCCTAAGTTTGCCTGATGGCCAGAGTATGGTCAAGTAAGTAAAATGCCAGATTAATTATTTTCTTCCCCCAAACTTTTCAAATCAGACTGCTTTGGTTGAAGAATTTCTGGATACATATTTATGTATCTGCTGTTTTAGTGGGAGTTGATAAATACACAAAGTAAGATATTGCATAATCTCAACTTTGGGAAAGTGTCAGCAAGTACATTTTATTGTATGTAAAATGTTTTAGGAGGTTCCAAGGTAAAAATGTGATATGACGGGGGATCCAAAGAAACCCGGAATTATTTTTAGGAGGCCAGGCTCCTTGTAGGACAGGTTTCCCCCACTAGGTAAGTGTTCTAGGAACGCATCAGCATCGGTGTACCAGCTAACGTCGTTGTGAGAGGCTGTGTTTGGCTTCAGTGAATTTTTTTTTAAAGAATTCTTTCAATACGTTTGCCCATTTCATGATGGGTGATTTACAGGTACACCTACCTGCCCACTCCGCAATGAGTGTTCAGCAGTTTTTGACCCAAAACAGCATGGACTCCATTTCCCATTCTCCCTATTCCCCTAATCTCACCCCGGGCAACTTCGGTTTTGTTTCCCCAGACAAAAAAGTCCTCAAAGGGAAACGTTTTGTTGATGTGGAAGAGGTGAAACAAAAAAACGGCAGAAGCACTAAAAGGCAACAAAATTGATGAGCTCAAAAACTGTTTTGAGCAGAGGAAAAAGCATCTCGATAGATGCGTTGCCTCAAACGGAGTCCTTTGAAGGTGACTGAAGTTTAAACATGTAAAAATAAAGACACCATTTAAAAATAATAAATTCTGGGCTCTTTTGGGTCCCCCCCCAGCATTTCAATAGAAAGTTTATATATTTTATGGAATTTAGTAACATAGAAGCCAAAAATAACTTTGTGTGTTCATGTGCACACACACACATCGCATATCACAACACGTGTCCACACACCATACATAACTCATATATGTACTCATACTATAGATGTGCATATACTATGTGTGTATGTACAACCAATCCTGCATGTTTCATACCACATATGTTCATAGAGATAGTTAATATACCAACTCATTTTCTGGAACCATAACTACTCATCCTAACATTTCAAAAAACTGTAATACATGTACATACTCATTGCAAAGATGCAAACATTATAGAAGTGCGTGGAGCAGAAATGAAAGTTTGTTTTCAACCCTGATATGATCTCTTAATAGTTTTTCCTCTCCCTGCTTAACATTGTCCTTTCAAACATTTACATTTATTTATGTATATTGCATACACATATTTGGTTTAAAAACATACGTTAATTATATGTTTCGTATTGCTGTGCCACTTTTTTTTTTTGAGTCTGAGTCTCACTCTGTTGCCCAGGCTGGGGGGCAGTGGCACGCTCATGGCAAACGCAACCCTGAACTTCTGGGTTCAGGTGATCCTTCTGCCTCAGCCACCTGAGTAGCTGGGACTACAGGCATGTACCACCATGCTGGGCATGGGTCTCACTATGTTGCCCAGGCTGGTCTCAAACTCCTGGGCTCAAGCAATCTTCCTGCCTCCGTCTCCCAAAATGTTGGGATTATAGGTGGGAGCCACTGCACCCAGCCACTTGTTTTTTTAAATTTAACATGCCATGGATATATTTTAAAATCATTCTTGCTATCTTTCTACTGACTCTAATAACGTCTTTATGAATACAAATGTACACATGTGACTGGAAGGAATGCCTTAGAATGTTAAGTGTGGTCATCCCTGGTAGGTGGGCATGTACAGATCTATTGTTTAGCTACTCGAAGTACCCAGAACACAGGCCTCAGTATGCATGGTCGCTATTGTTACCACTATTAAAACTTAAGCAAAGGGTTTAGGTATTTATGCCAAAATGGAGCTGGCTCGGTGGCTCAGCCTGTAATCCCGCGCCTTTGGGAGGCTGAGGTGAGTGGATTGCCTGAGCCCGTGGGTTCGAGACCCGCCTGGACAGCGAGACCTCATCTCTACAATAAATCAAAAAATCAGCCGGGTGTGGTAGCGCGTGCCTGTAATTCCGGCTACTCGGAAGGCTGAGGCGGAAGGATTGCCGGAGCCCAGCAGGTCAAGGCTGCGGTGGCTGGGAGCGGCCACTGCACTCCAGTCTGGGTGACCAAGTGAGACTCCAACAAAAAGAAAAAAAAAAAAAAAGTAATATAGACTGGCAAGGATGCTGAAAAGTAGAATCCTAAAAATTAAACTAAAAAGCCACAAAACCTCCCCACTATTTTGGCCCATTTACCACATTTATATTAAGGTCAATAATTGGGAGTTGGTGCATAGCTGAATAAACATTGACCATGCTGGGAAATTGGGCTGGGCTTACTGGTTGCATCTCTGCTGGGTCGTGCCTATGTGTACGTGTGTGTGTGTGTGTGTGTGTGTGTGTGTATGTTTGTGTTTGGAGGAGGGAGGCGGTGAGGGAAGTGTCGTCTCTTGGCACTACCCTCTCCTCTTTGTACAACCAGCCCTGAAAACCACACCTTCTCTCCCATGATCTCTCCGCCTCTCTCCTTTGTCTCTGGAGGGTTCCCTCGAAGCACAGCTGGAAGGCCCATGAGACAAGAAATCTCCTGCCCAGGCTGTAATCCACAACTCCTCACGACACCACCTGTCCTCTGCCACTGCGTCCTATCATCTGGCTTGTCATAAACAGGGACTATGCTGATTTTTTTCCTCATGCCCGACTTTTACTCTTTCCACAGCAAATAGTCAATCGATGCTGTTGACTCGCTGGAAGAAGTGGGTCTGCAGTGATCTGCACATTTGCAAGTGTTCATTGCACACAGCGTTTCTGTGGGCCATTTACTGCAGTGGCTTTGATTAGAATCACATGGGGAGCTTTTACAATATCCCGATGTTGTGCTCATCAACTACCTTCCCTGCCCCTTCCCTACTCAGGGACCCAGTAAATCAGAATCTCTGGAGAACGGACCTAGGCATCTGGGAATTCTGAGTTATGGGCTTGGGGTGGGTCTGGAGTTGGAAATGAATGATTTACATCACCATCATCTCAGCCATTAACTGAGTATGTGTCCGAGGGCTTAGGACTAAAGGCTGGGCATTGTTTCAAGCACTCACATGCATTCTCATCGAGCTCTCACAATGGAACTGGAAAGGTGGCACCATCAATGTCCACATTCCATAGAAGAGGAAGTCAAGGTTTAGAGAAGTTCCGTAATGGACCAGTGTCACAAAGTTATTAAGTACCAGGATGGAGCATTTTGCCCCAAATCCTGCTCTT